AATTAGCCAAACTGTTTTTTCGGGCACGAGGGGGGGATGTGTCTTTCTTCATGAAAATGTCATGAATAGGAATAAATGGCAGGATCAGTTTATCATGCCTTCCATATCGATGTTGAAGAGATGAACAAATATTCCATATTAAAACCTTTTACACCAACAATAAAAAAAGCTGCTTGACGGCACTTAACACTCCAGACTAAAACATGAATCAATATAGGGAACACAGAAGGATAAAGACGACACTTTTCTCTAAAAGTATGCCTCATAAAATCTCGACTAAACTACAAGTGTCTGAGCGCACAAAAAGGGTATTCGAACTTAATTAACGGGTTCGTAACAACACGAAAAAACTAAAGAATATTTTTCTTAAAGAACTCACAGTTTCGCAATACAAGTACTTAGACAATGCAAATAAATTGACATTTTGTGGTAGTAATCATAAAATCTAAAAAATTCTCTCACAATAAAAAACATTATTTATCTATTTAGAGAGTATGTAATGAAACTATCGGGAATCTCCTGATTCAAATACCCAAGCCAATCAAAAATTGTGCAAAAACAATAGTTATCATATCACCTTGCCTTGATTGAAATAGTATCCTGAAGCACGCCCCACTCAAAAAGTATTTGAAGTCCAGCTATCTTATGTAATATCAAACAATGTCTCGTTTGATGCAGAAGTGACCAGAGACACCAAAGAACCAAAATAGGTTCTTGGCCTATAGTTATGAAGCAATAAACATCCTTACCAAAGACAAGAGCTATTTCATTTCGACTCAGACACATTGTTTAAGCACAACATCAGATTGACAGAATAAAATTTTCCCCAAAAATTCAAATAGTTGTCTGAATGAGCCTTTAAAACCAAGCCTTAACAACTGAGTTGCTAAATACACCTTGAATTAAAATATTACCTCGTTTATATACTAGGAGAAAATGACATCTGTGACATCGCTATCGTCCCTGTTGAGACTCTACTGTCCCGAATTTTCCTGCACAAGACCCTTATGGTAGTTCGAGATAAAGAGCTCAAGATACTGTCTGTATTCGTTCCAGTTTCTCAACAGTTCGTTCCAGTTTGGCGGACGACTCCCTCTGTCTACTGATTTGTCATTCGTGTTCCTTTTGCTGTCGCACCAATTTCTCTTCGATCTCGTGCCGTTCAAATCGCAGTTTGTTGACTTCAACTCGAGATTCTTGCAGCTCAACTCTTATACTGCAAAGGAAAGAAAGAACCCATAACTCACAAAACTAGGACATTGTGTCAAGAAATTTGTAGGGGTGGTATAGAAAAGATGTGGCAGAGTCCTGGCACTTTTTTGTTAAGAAGTATATTTATCATTATATTGTATCGTAGATAAGCCTGATATAAATCTTCAATAAGATTAAAAGTCTAACTAATAGATGCAGCCAAGGAACAAAAGGTAAAAACGTAATCGATTTTGGCATCCAAGGGGCTATTTTGATATAAGACCAATAATTGACAACACTTTTGAGTTAAAAAGAAGCCCTTTTCGGTGATGTTATAGCTGACAAAAATTGAACTATAAGATTATAAATGCAAAGCGTTACCCAACATACCTTGCGCGCATTATGTCTTGTTTATTCGTTATTTCCTACAGAAATTGAAAATGAGTTAAAAAGCAGGAAAACACAAAACTGGCCTATTATGGTTGTAACATCCAATCGAGCAACCTGACAGAGATTCAGAGACACAAGAAAAGCCATAAATGTTTTACTGCAAATATTTATATTTTATAGAAATGAGCAAATGATTTGTTGCTAAATTAAGATAAATTGAAACATTATTTAACGGTGTGAATTAAAGTGTGTTACAATGACAGAAAGTATGAAAAATCCCAAGAAAAAAGGTCTGGATTTTACTCATGTTAAATAGGTTCTATAAACAAGTATTCAAAATATGAAAAGATATATAGAAAATTCACTTACCGTTAATGAGGTCAGGTAGTCTTTTAGCTGCGTAACTGCGAGTATTTCTGTGAAAAATACAGTCTATGTTTATTGCAAGCTGCAACTGGGGAGGAGGAGTGGGGGGCTAAACGATCTTCAAATGAAACAACTAATTTTGTGTACCTAGAAATAATCTATAATTAGGACATTGCTTTCAATCTATCTAAAAACTATCTCTCGAAATTTAAATTAGAGATCCCATCCATATTTTCTATATGTAATTATATTGGATTCATTGTCTAAAAATTGTGTAATTAGTATAAAAGAACGGCATAAGCTGCCAAAAGACAGATCAAAGCTAGTGTGATGAGCTGTATCAAAAATTGAAAGAAACACTGTTGATTCTTAATTTGCAGAATTTTTGCTTTTTCGAACGAGAGTTGTTGAGTGTAGTAACTACTCCTCTTCTCATTTTACGAAATACTTGCTAATACTTGAATAAGACTTTTAGATAAAATATTGACTTCTACTTTTAGTATCAAACTAAATTTATGACAACAAATTTCTTACTGAAAAAAAGGTATTTCAAGTTCACACTCGATCAAAGGATCTTCATGAAAAGACCTTCCCATGATTTTCACTTATGCAGTCAGACAACATCAAGGCTGTGAATCCCTACCAAATGGAATGAATCAGTAAGTCGTACAATGACAAAAGATATGCAGCTTTCATTTGGTCACTGCTTCCAACTCTAGGCAAAAATCCCCTTTAAATTTAAAAACTTCCAGAGATTTCAAGCATACTGAAAAAAAAATCGAACAATCCTGCAAAAAATTGAAACAAGAACAAAAAATTTAAATAGCCTGAATAAGATAGAAAAAAGCTTTCAATTAAATAAAAGATTCCATAAAAAAAGTTTATAGAAAGACCTGAAAGAGAAAAACAATTGACAGAGAAAGAATAGAATCTCAATTCAGGTAGCATCTAAATAATATCAATAAAGTATAAGTCCTGTCCTCTATTAATTTATACGAAGAACTAAAAAACAAGACATAAATTAATTTTCTTGTTTCTACCAAAAGAGAAACCAATAGGAAACACAAAATTCAATAAAAGTCGTTATAGAGGAAAACTTCATTCACAGAACTTGTTTCAAACAGTAAAAATCACTTACTCTGTTTCTTTGATCAGCCAAGCAAGAGAAAGGGCTTTTAACTCATAACTCATTTCCAGCCTGCAACTTCATCAATCAACTTTGCTAAGACGTACAATCAGATAAAACAGCAACAAAACACCTTCATGATTTGCTCTTCTGCAATTAGCCAAAGTCCTGACTGTAAGCACTTGCAAACAAAATATCTCTCCTCCTTTTGGTTGAATAAGAGAAACAGCAAGTCTTCAAAAAACACAAAATTTACAGCTCTCTTTTGATCACTGTCTTCTCCTTTTCGATAAGGCTCTCTTCAAATTCAACACTCTCCAGAGATTTTTCATCCTCTTTAAAGCATACTGAAATAGTCATCGAACAATCCTGTAAAAAATAAATTGAAAACCTTAAAGAACAAACATATAAAAAGCCCAAAGATGATAGAAAAAGCTTTAAATTAAATTCAAGATCCTTAAGAAATAGGTTTGAAGGAATTGCTGATAGAAAAACTTCACAGAGAAAGAAACAGCACGTCAATTCAGGTAGCATCTAAATAAACTGAGGCACATTATAATTTCAATGAAGTATAAGTCCTGTCCTCTGCTAGTTTGTATGAAGAGCTATGAAACAAGACATAAAATAGTTTTCTTATTTCTACCAAAAGAGAAACGCAAACATTTTACAACATACTTAAAGCTTTTTCGTCTGACACTCCTCAGAGCATAAAACGTCAGAATAGGTTCCGAAAAACATGTTATTTTTCTATTTTTCTTTAGGTATTTTTATTTAAATAAATATACAAACTGAAATATACAAACAAACTTTATTTATATATACAAACTTTATTTATACAAACTATTTTTCTTTAGGCTCGCGGCACTGATTGGTCAACTATACCGGTCTTGTGCTTGCGTTTTTCTGATTGGCCTATTTCGATCCACAACTGGGTATATATTTTTCAAACATGTTTTTCGGAACCTATTCTGACGTTTTATGCTCTGAGGAGTGTCAGACGAAAAAGCTTTAAGTATGTTGTAAAATGTTTGCTTTTTTCAAAGCCATTTTCAAATTCTGTACCGCAAAAAAACTGTTCACAAAAGAGAAACCAATAGAAAACACAAAATTCAATAAAACTCGTTCTAGAGTTAAACTTTATTCTCGGAACTTGTTTCAAACAGTAAAAAAACACTTACTCTGTTTCTTTGATCAGCCAAGCAAGATAAAGGGCTTCAAACTCATTTCCAGCCTGCAACTTCATCAATCAACTTTGCTAAGACGTACAATCAGATAAAACAGCAACAAAACACCTTCATGATTTGCTCTTCTGCAATTAGCCAAAATCCTGACTGTAAGCACTTGCAAACAAAATATCTCTCCTCCTTTTGGTTGAATAAGAGAAACAGCAAGTCTTCAAAAAACACAAAATTTACAGCTCATTTTTGATCACTGTTTTCTCCTTTTCGATAAGGCTCTCTTCAAATTCAACACTCTCCAGAGATTTTTCATCCTCTTTAAAGCATACTGAAATAGTCATCGAACAATCCTGTAAAAAAATAAATTGAAAACCTTAAAGAACAAACATATAAAAAGCCCAAAGATGATAGAAAAAGCTTTAAATTAAATTCAAGATCCTTAAGAAATAGGTTTGAAGGAACTGCTGATAGAAAAACTTCACAGAGAAAAAAACAGCACGTCAATTCAGGTAGCATCTAAATAAACTGAGGCACATTATAATTTCAATGAAGTATAAGTCCTGTCCTCTTTTAATTTATACGAAGACCTAAGAAACAAGACATAAAATAGTTTTCTTATTTCTGCCAAAAGAGAAACCAATAGGAAACACAAAATTCAATAAAAGTCGTTCTAGAGGAAAACTTCATTCACGGAACTTGTTTCAAACAGTAAAAAACACTTACTCTGTACCTTTGATCAGCCAAGCAAGATAAAGTTCTTCAAACTCATTTCCAGCCTGCAACTTCATCAATCAACTTTGCTAAGACGTACAATCAGAAAAAAGAGCAACGAAACACCTTCATGATATGCTCTTCTGCAATCAGCCAAAGTCCTGACTGTAAGCTCTTGGAAACAAATTATCTCTCCTCCTTTTGGTCGAATAAGAGAAACAGCAAGTCTTCAAAAAACACCAAATTTACAGCCCTCTTTTGATCACTGTTTTCTCCTTTTCGATAAGGCTCTTTTTCAAATTCAACACTCTCCAGAGATTTTTCATCCTCTTTAAAGCATACTGAAATAGTCATCGAACAATCCTGTAAAAAAAAAAAAGAAAACCTTAAAGAACAAACATATAAACAGCCCAAAGATGATAGAAAAAGCTTTAAATTAAATTCAAGATCCTTAAGAAATAGGTTTGAAGGAATTGCTGATAGAAAAACTTCACAGAGAAAAAAACAGCACGTCAATTCAGGTAGCATCTAAATAAACTGAGGCACATTATAATTTCAATGAAGTATAAGTCCTGTCCTCTTTTAATTTATACGAAGACCTAAGAAACAAGACATAAAATAGTTTTCTTATTTCTGCCAAAAGAGAAACCAATAGGAAACACAAAATTCAATAAAAGTCGTTCTAGAGGAAAACTTCATTCACGGAACTTGTTTCAAACAGTAAAAAACACTTACTCTGTTTCTTTGATCAGCCAAGCAAGATAAAGTTCTTCAAACTCATTTCCAGCCTGCAACTTCATCAATCAACTTTGCTAAGACGTACAATCAGAAAAAAGAGCAACGAAACACCTTCATGATATGCTCTTCTGCAATCAGCCAAAGTCCTGACTGTAAGCTCTTGGAAACAAATTATCTCTCCTCCTTTTGGTCGAATAAGAGAAACAGCAAGTCTTCAAAAAACACCAAATTTACAGCTCTCTTTTGATCACTGTTTTCTCCTTTTCGATAAGGCTCTTTTTCAAATTCAACACTCTCCAGAGATTTTTCATCTTCTTTAAAGCGTACTGAAATAGTCATCGAGTAATCCTGTAGAAAATAAATAAAAAACCTTAAAAAACAAACATATAAACAGCCCAAAGATGATAGAAAAAGCTTTAAATTAAATTCAAGATCCTTAAGAAATAGGTTTGAAGGAATTGCTGATAGAAAAACTTCACAGAGAAAAAAACAGCACGTCAATTCAGGTAGCATCTAAATAAACTGAGGCACATTATAATTTCAATGAAGTATAAGTCCTGTCCTCTTTTAATTTATACGAAGACCTAAGAAACAAGACATAAAATAGTTTTCTTATTTCTGCCAAAAGAGAAACCAATAGGAAACACAAAATTCAATAAAAGTCGTTCTAGAGGAAAACTTCATTCACGGAACTTGTTTCAAACAGTAAAAAACACTTACTCTGTTTCTTTGATCAGCCAAGCAAGATAATGTTCTTCAAACTCATTTCCAGCCTGCAACTTCATCAATCAACTTTGCTAAGACGTACAATCAGAAAAAAGAGCAACGAAACACCTTCATGATATGCTCTTCTGCAATCAGCCAAAGTCCTGACTGTAAGCTCTTGGAAACAAATTATCTCTCCTCCTTTTGGTCGAATAAGAGAAACAGCAAGTCTTCAAAAAACACCAAATTTACAGCTCTCTTTTGATCACTGTTTTCTCCTTTTCGATAAGGCTCTTTTTCAAATTCAACACTCTCCAGAGATTTTTCATCTTCTTTAAAGCGTACTGAAATAGTCATCGAGTAATCCTGTAGAAAATAAATAAAAAACCTTAAAAAACAAACATATAAACAGCCCAAAGATGATAGAAAAAGCTTTAAATTAAATTCAAGATCCTTAAGAAACAGGTTTGAAGGAATTGCTGATAGAAAAACTTCACAGAGAAAAAAAACAACACCTCAATTCAGGTGGCATCTAAATACACCTAGGCACATTATAATTTCAAGAAAGTATAAGTCCTGTCCTCTGCTAGTTTGTATGAAGAGCTATGAAACAAGACATAAAATAGTTTTCTTATTTCTACCAAAAGAGAAACCAATAGAAAACACAAAATTCAATAAAACTCGTTCTAGAGTTAAACTTTATTCTCGGAACTTGTTTCAAACAGTAAAAAAACACTTACTCTGTTTCTTTGATCAGCCAAGCAAGATAAAGGGCTTCAAACTCATTTCCAGCCTGCAACTTCATCAATCAACTTTGCTAAGACGTACAATCAGATAAAACAGCAACAAAACACCTTCATGATTTGCTCTTCTGCAATTAGCCAAAATCCTGACTGTAAGCACTTGCAAACAAAATATCTCTCCTCCTTTTGGTTGAATAAGAGAAACAGCAAGTCTTCAAAAAACACAAAATTTACAGCTCATTTTTGATCACTGTTTTCTCCTTTTCGATAAGGCTCTCTTCAAATTCAACACTCTCCAGAGATTTTTCATCCTCTTTAAAGCATACTGAAATAGTCATCGAACAATCCTGTAAAAAAATAAATTGAAAACCTTAAAGAACAAACATATAAAAAGCCCAAAGATGATAGAAAAAGCTTTAAATTAAATTCAAGATCCTTAAGAAATAGGTTTGAAGGAACTGCTGATAGAAAAACTTCACAGAGAAAAAAACAGCACGTCAATTCAGGTAGCATCTAAATAAACTGAGGCACATTATAATTTCAATGAAGTATAAGTCCTGTCCTCTTTTAATTTATACGAAGACCTAAGAAACAAGACATAAAATAGTTTTCTTATTTCTGCCAAAAGAGAAACCAATAGGAAAGACAAAATTCAATAAAAGTCGTTCTAGAGGAAAACTTCATTCACGGAACTTGTTTCAAACAGTAAAAAACACTTACTCTGTACCTTTGATCAGCCAAGCAAGATAAAGTTCTTCAAACTCATTTCCAGCCTGCAACTTCATCAATCAACTTTGCTAAGACGTACAATCAGAAAAAAGAGCAACGAAACACCTTCATGATATGCTCTTCTGCAATCAGCCAAAGTCCTGACTGTAAGCTCTTGGAAACAAATTATCTCTCCTCCTTTTGGTCGAATAAGAGAAACAGCAAGTCTTCAAAAAACACCAAATTTACAGCCCTCTTTTGATCACTGTTTTCTCCTTTTCGATAAGGCTCTTTTTCAAATTCAACACTCTCCAGAGATTTTTCATCCTCTTTAAAGCATACTGAAATAGTCATCGAACAATCCTGTAAAAAAAAAAAAGAAAACCTTAAAGAACAAACATATAAACAGCCCAAAGATGATAGAAAAAGCTTTAAATTAAATTCAAGATCCTTAAGAAATAGGTTTGAAGGAATTGCTGATAGAAAAACTTCACAGAGAAAAAAACAGCACGTCAATTCAGGTAGCATCTAAATAAACTGAGGCACATTATAATTTCAATGAAGTATAAGTCCTGTCCTCTTTTAATTTATACGAAGACCTAAGAAACAAGACATAAAATAGTTTTCTTATTTCTGCCAAAAGAGAAACCAATAGGAAACACAAAATTCAATAAAAGTCGTTCTAGAGGAAAACTTCATTCACGGAACTTGTTTCAAACAGTAAAAAACACTTACTCTGTTTCTTTGATCAGCCAAGCAAGATAAAGTTCTTCAAACTCATTTCCAGCCTGCAACTTCATCAATCAACTTTGCTAAGACGTACAATCAGAAAAAAGAGCAACGAAACACCTTCATGATATGCTCTTCTGCAATCAGCCAAAGTCCTGACTGTAAGCTCTTGGAAACAAATTATCTCTCCTCCTTTTGGTCGAATAAGAGAAACAGCAAGTCTTCAAAAAACACCAAATTTACAGCTCTCTTTTGATCACTGTTTTCTCCTTTTCGATAAGGCTCTTTTTCAAATTCAACACTCTCCAGAGATTTTTCATCTTCTTTAAAGCGTACTGAAATAGTCATCGAGTAATCCTGTAGAAAATAAATAAAAAACCTTAAAAAACAAACATATAAACAGCCCAAAGATGATAGAAAAAGCTTTAAATTAAATTCAAGATCCTTAAGAAATAGGTTTGAAGGAACTGCTGATAGAAAAACTTCACAGAGAAAAAAACAGCACGTCAATTCAGGTAGCATCTAAATAAACTGAGGCACATTATAATTTCAATGAAGTATAAGTCCTGTCCTCTTTTAATTTATACGAAGAGCTATGAAACAAGGCATAAAATAGTTTTCTTATTTCTACCAAAAGAGAAACCAATAGAAAACACAAAATTCAATAAAAGTCGTTCTAGAGGAAAACTTCATTCACGGAACTTGTTTCAAACAGTAAAAAACACTTACTCTGTTTCTTTGATCAGCCAAGCAAGATAAAGTTCTTCAAACTCATTTCCAGCCTGCAACTTCATCAATCAGCTTTGCTAAGACGTACAATCAGAAAAAAGAGCAACGAAACACCTTCATGATATGCTCTTCTGCAATCAGCCAAAGTCCTGACTGTAAGCTCTTGGAAACAAATTATCTCTCTTCCTTTTGGTTGAATAAGAGAAACAGCAAGTCTTCAAAAAACACCAAATTTACAGCTCATTTTTGATCACTGTCTTCTTCTT